TGGCTCTACAGGTATGTTTTTTCCAGTTTGGTCTGTACTCTATCAGTTTGATTTGCATCTTTTGTACGGGTTGTTGTACCTTTATGTTGTGTACTAATTCTGATGTTTTATATTTCAGGACTCTGTTTTACCTGTGTCTCCCCAAGTTTACGTTTGGTAAGTCTGCAGTTCTGTATTAAGAAATTACCATATTTCTCTATCTTTTTTTAGCTTGAAATTGTCGCATCGTTTCCCGTTACCCTGTTTCGACCAAGTGGGACATCGTTCATCTTACCTGGTCTTCGGTTCGCAAGAAAGAGGGGGATTGTGGGAGACACAAGACTTATATAGCTACTTCCTATATCCTGTGATTGGCTACCTGTTGTGCCTATACAGTTTTTTCTTCAGTTTTGATAATATTTATATTTCTCTTTTCTTTGCTGCTGAGGAAATAAAGAAAGAGTTATGCATAATACTCACCTCCGTGTCTTTAATAAAATCATGACTTTACGACATGTTACTAGTAAAATCTGGGAATTTATGCAATTAAACTATAATTTAGAACAATGTATCTTATTTACACAGACTGATTTTTAAACACATTTATTGTAGTTCAAAGACACATTTACTGGGAGTACTATTTTTGTGGAGCTCTGTTATACACTCACACACCAATTTGTTCTTTATATGCATATTTACAACACTAGAGACCTGATTGTTAAGTGATTACTCAAAAAAGAAAAAAAAATAAAAATTTTTTTATTAAAGCACTGTTTTTGGGTGTTGTGAAGGAATACCCCATCACTTGGTTTGGTTGTAATCGTTTTCCCCTGTTCGTTTGTTCATCCGAAATTCCCCTGGTACCAAAATCTAATTAGAACGTGGAATACAAAGTATCCAGTGCGAAACCCCAACAGAAACTATTAAAAGGCTCCCCTCGGTGGCCGTCATTTTGTGCACAGAATGCACATGGTCGACAGAATGGATGGCGGCCATCTTGTCTCCCGAACGCAGACAGCGGTACCTGGTTGCTGAGTGCCCGGAACTTTTTTTGACTAGGCACTCCCGCGCACACCCGTGAATATGGAACTGCTGCCCGTTAAAATTCCAGACCACCTATATGAATGGCGCTCGGGAGATACAAACTACCGAATGGGGGGAGCATTCGACACCTAAAAACGTTTGCATAGTATGTATGGTTTTTGTAAAAAAAACACCTCGAACTGAGACCGGCCGTTGCCACGATTTCCCTGGAACTGCTCTGGGCTTCTACCTCGTGGTCGGCCGGTCAAAATTGTACCTCAATGGAAAATCCAAACCACCAAACCGATCTGAGTGCTTTTTGGAAATGATAGGCACTCAGATCAGGGCTATCCGGGGATGTGACTCTCGAAGGGTTTCCATGGATTTTGGGGGTACCTTTGGGGTGTTTAAATTTTTTTTTTAATATTTTTCTTTACCTGTGAGATAACTGAGTTGTAATTTGCCTGACTCAATTATCTCTCAGGCACAGGGGAGAAGTTTACTGTATGTATAAATTCAGAGTGCTTGCCTGCATTAAACAAATCTACTCCCAGCATTCCGTCTCTACTAATGTGTGGGGGAGAAAGGCAATACCAGCGATATTTACTTTAATGAGTGCTGGA